CCCAAGCTCAGATCTTCCGCATACAGAGAAAAGAACCTTGAAGTACACAGATCAAGAAACCAAAACTAGGTGAATTAATGAAAATCTGCAGCTGGCTGGAAGCCCTTGCAGATTGTAAGGCATCCACCCAACTCTTGACTTGAGCATGTTACCTCCCAGCACATCAGAGGCGAGAGTGCAGGTACCTGAAGGGGACAGATGACTGATCTTTCACCACAATACAGATCAAAGGAACTCTAGAATTTAGCTGCAGTTTTGCCACCGTAAGAACCACCAGGGTATGTTCAACTGAGATGGCTGGTCCATCCCCAGGACCTCAGTTCCACCGTGTGTCAGAGAACGGCTACATCAGGAGCAAGCGCAACAACAACCCACACCTGCCGAGCTGGTGGGACGGCAAGTGGCGGCCGCGCTTCCGGCTGGGGCAGTGCCACTGAAAGGGGATCCCCACTTCTGATAAGCAGCAAGGGAGCAGGGAAACAATAGGTGGCTTGATGAGAGCTGCTCTACGATACTCCTGAGAAGCCCCACAGTCAGCAGTGGCCAAAGAGGAAATTGGGGGTTTCCACAGCAACCTGCCCAGGGCACAAAGGCCCAACTGTCTAGGGGGAAGCAATGGAGGTGTCTCAGCACTCACATTTTAAGAAGGGACAGGGGTGGAAGGCTGAAGTCTCTCTGAAGCCAAAGTACCTGCCAGAGCATTTCTGTACAGCAGGAGTTTAACTGGGTATCCATCCTGTAACCAGGGAGGTGCAGTGCTAGAGGAGGGAGTTACTGCAGACTTTAGCCAAGCTAAAAGACGAAGCCTTTGACAGTGCAAGAAAGCTGAAAAAACAGCATTGCACTTGGCTCCCTAATCTTACCAATATAGTACAGGACACACAGAGAAAAAAAATAATGCCCAAACTTGTGGAGACAGCTAAGAAAATAATTTCTCAGACATACAGGACTGAGATGAAATAGAAAGTCAGAGGGAAAAAAACCCAAATATATTTAATTTAAAATAGGGAGATTAAAAATTTATTTACACAAACACTAACCAAAATTAGAAACATCCCTGGAAACACAAAAACAACAGCTGGAATCTGATCAGTCTGTGATAATTAACTCATCCACACCCCAGTCTTCATAGCTCCCATCTGGAAGGTAACGACGGATGATTATGGGGATCTTGCGTGCTCTGAAGGGAAGAGAGAGATGAACAGAAATGTCAGAATCTCCACTGTATCACTTCAGTAGGTGATGGAAGTGAGGTGCTTGGTGGCTTCAGTAAGCTCATCAGATTTAACTGAGAGCTGTGCAGCACCAGTGATTTGATATTATATAGCAAAGTCCCAACAACCTTCTGTCATTTGCAGATGCAAAGCCCTCAGCACCCTCAGACTACAAACACCAAAGACTTCTCAGACCTCTGCTGCTACTGCAGGAATTGAGCCGTATGGTCTGAACCCACTGAGAGACAACACCTAGCATCTAACCCTGATATAGGGGGAAAATATAAATCAAGGGACTTGAAGAACAAATCCACTTTTTGTTTGATGGAAGGTTTTTCACCACATGACACTAAAAAGGTGGCAGAATTCTGAGAACTTCCAGGATACGCTGGTATTTACAGAGAAATTTGCATCCTGAGAGTATCAGTTACATTTAAAGAAGGATACATGAAACAGTGACTATTTACACACCAAAACCTGTCACAGCTGGGGTGGAGCACAGCACCTCCTAACAGTGCTTCTGATTAGAGAGCAAGAAAATGCTGAATACAATTTAACTTCATGAAAGTAGATTTACATCAGCAAAACATAATCAGACAGTCTGGAATCCAGCCAGGGCATCAGGTTTCAACTGTATCAGACTTGAAAAGTAACACAACTTCTTTACATTCAGGGAGGTTGTTCTTCCAGTAGTAAAGTAACTCCCTAATGCCAAAAATTACAACTGAATTTTGGCAGAGAACAGGATGCACCACCCTGACTTCTGACTGAGCTTTCCAGAGCTCACACACAGGCAGTGACCAGAAGCAACTCAGTCTGAGCCTGGAGATCTGACAGGAATATGACCTAAGGAGCTTCTAGCAATGGCAAAGGGAGCTGTAATAGATAAAAAATCTGGAAGAGCAGCTTCAGTGCACTGAGAAACTGGGGAAGCAGGGGGGACAATTTCATTCAAGGACAGGGACCTAATCAGTAACAGAGTCCAGCTGCTTGAAGGATATCTGCATGTGACCTAGATCATGCAGGAAAACTGTAAGACAGCAGGTAGCTCTGCTGTGGAAAGGTGGGCCTGCAAGTGGTCATCCAAAAGTTGCCTCTGCTGCAGTCAGAAAGGATTTATTTACCTTTGTGTAAGTAGGGGAAAAGCACAAGAAGCCAAACATGCAAGGGTGCAGGAAACATTCTCACCAGCCTGACTCTGATTTTAATTTTTGCCAGCACTTCACTTGAATACAAGTCTGCTCAGATGGCTGCTTCAAAACAATTCCATTTGGGGAATTAAATGGATTCCCAAAAGATGAAGACCTTGGGATCCCATCACAGAAATAAAGAACACAGGGAATGTGAAGTAGAAAAGATCCAGAGCACTCCTAATCATCAGTATTTATAGGAGCAACTAGGATGGGAGAGAGCAGCTGTGGAGAAACTCCAAGGTGAAAAAAGGAAAAGGCAACTATAGTGCTCACTGTTATTGAAGGAAGATGAGGTTGTTTTAGAACAAACTGCTAAATGCTGGGATGAGGAGAGGACTGCTGCCTTGAAATCAGTTAAAAATCTGTGACTTACTTGAGTTCTTTCATGGCAATGAGCAAGGGGTCTGTCTCTCCTTCCAGCTCCACCATCACAGGGGCACACATCCTAGGAAGAACATCAACAACCACTTGAGCAAAAACACAGGGAGGGAAGATCTAAGAACACCTGCCTAGCTGTGTCACCTCCATAACAGCCAATTAAGTAGGAGGGTGGGACACCATCCTGGCAAAACTGATTTGCTCTGGCATGAACTTCAAGAAGTAAACTCCCCATAACAGTTACAGACCAAACTTTTACTTCAATGTTCTTCTTGCTCCATCCCTAGGGCTCTGCTAAGCAGCTCATGCTCAAGGACTGGTGAAATCCACACTCTCTTAGTTGTCCTCTGCTGTACTTAAGTATGTAGAAAAGAATGGCTCTAATATTAATCCAATGAAAAGGGTGGAATTGCTGTAAAATGAGCAGGCCTCCTACAACTCCAACGTATCTCTCATATTCTGACTTGCTCACAGCTTCCAGGCCTTGATCAGGGAAAGAGAGGGGCTGGATTTACAGGGCATTTTACATCTCATAAGAAAAAAATTAATCATTTTGCAAAGGATTGTGACTACACCCATCCACTGGACAGTGGTGGCAAAGAAAGCTCACATTATGTGTTATGTGTGGGTGAGGCCATGGGGCTGCTGCTGGTCTGGGTTCAGCATTGAAAGTAGAAGATGCAGGTAAGCAGAAGCAGGTACCAGAGTGTTTTGGATTAAAGGCCTGGCACGGGCCCATGTCACCTCCCCCCATTTTTCCTGCCTTTCACCAACTGAAAGAACATGCACAAAACAGCTTGACAGAACAGCTTGGCTGCCTCTAAATCATGCACAAGAGAAGCCTCATTTTCAAGGTGGCTATAACCAAGATGAAACTTTTGCCACTGTCTAACAATCTCACTCAAAAGGTAGTTTTTCAAAAAGCACAACAATTTTTAATATTTATTATTAAAACAAGTCTAAAAAGGCAAATGGATTAAGAGCAGCAGGCCTTGGCAGCACTTGAAGTTCTAAATATTATTGTCTATTAGAAATAAGGCCTTACTATTGCCAATACTTTAAAACACTTACAGCTCCCCACAATGCAACTGCATTTAAAATTAATTTCAGCTTGGCTTCTCCACTCCCAATTCCTATAGCCCAGTTGTGTTATCAACTGAAGCTGTTTTGAAGCATCTCTCCCTCCAACATTACCTTTTCCAAACCAGTTATGAACTTTCAAGTCCCTGCTAGCTCTCTTAGGAAATACAGAAACCTGAACTGTCTTGACCCATTCCCTAGTAATTTAGTCTGTGACCTAGGACAACTCGTTGTGGCTACTAAATGCTCCCTCTTCATGCACAAGCAGCACAATTTCAGACAAGGAGAGTCACAGAGACTTCAGGTGCAACTAAGAGCCCCACAGTCCTGTGCATCACTGGTGACCAGAGGGTGACATGCGAGCTCAGAAGTCATACAAAGGATTCAGAAGACCTAGGAATTTTTAAGGGAAGGGGAAAGCACTTATTAGTGTAAAGGGAGGTGCAGCTGCGGCAATGCTGGGGCCAGTGTGGGCAATACTCACGCTATCTGGAGAGCACGAGTGCCCAGGACTCTGGCTCGCTCGTACTTGGTCATGTAGGGGGTCGTGATCCGCTTCTGGTTTGCCTGCTGCCGCTCTCCCGAGGGCAGAATTTCCACGTTCTCCTGTCCCTCCTGGTGGGAACAGACCCGCGCCGCTGCTCAGCCGCAGCCGCCACCGAGGCCCTGAGGTGTGGGGGGAGCCACTGAGGCCTCCCCAACCACAGCAGCCGCCCAGCCAGGCCGCGACGCGACCCCGCGGGCCCGGCAGAGCCTGCCTGGGCCGGCCAGGGCAGCGCCCCACGGGGCACCCACCTCCTCCGCGTTCTCCAGGTCCTCCAGGCCCTCATCCTCCTCCACATCGTCGAAGTCATCCCCGTCAAAGCTGCGAGAGGGACACACGCGTCGTACTTGTGGCCGGGCCGGGCCGCCCCCACCCGACCCGCCCCGAGGCGCGCCGCGCCGCCTCCCCTCCTTCCCCTCGGCCGCCCCGCTCTCACTTGTCCTCGTTGTCGGACATGTTGCCCGCCCGGCGCCCCCCGCCCCGCACTTCCGGGAGCCACTTCCGGGTGTTGTCGTGACGCTACCGGAAGTTACCCTGCGCCGTTGCCATGCCGACCGCCGCCGCTTCACCCTCCCCGCCCGGTCGCCGCCCGTCGCGATGGAGGCGGCGGGGATCCCGGGCCGCGGCTGGGGCTCGCCCAGGGGCAGGCCGGCTCGGTACAGCACTGGAACGCGGGAGCTAGTGAGAGGTAACGGCGGAGCGGGCCGGGGTCCCGCCCACAGTGCCTCGCCCCGAAGTAGAGCGTCCCACCGCGGTCCGGCAACCGGGCAGGCCCGTGGCTGGTGTCGCCGCCCTGGCTGGAGTCTCCCAAACCCGCATCTTCCCCTTCGGGTTGGGGTTGTGAGGGGTGGTGACCCCAGGGCGGGTTCCCCAGGCCGGCTCTGCTGCCTCTTCATGCACACGTCGTGTTTTTCAGCCACGATGGAGGAGCTGCATCTGACGCATTCTCAGAAGCGATACCTGATGGACTACGTGAAAAGTGAGTGAAGCCCCCGGCTCTCCTGCCCGCTGCTGTGCTGTGCTGAGGAGCTTTTGCATCTCGGCTTGAGACTTGGGTGTTTGCCCACAGCCTGCTCGGATGGGCAAATGCTTTAAAACAGCAGCACAGCAGCTGCTGACACATGGGGACAAACAGGGCGAGCTGTCCCCACGGGTCAGCCAGGAACCAAGGCACAACGGTGCGACTTGGACCGCAGTCTGTTGTGCCCAGTGACCAGGGTGAGACATCTGGGGCACTGGGGTCTTCGTTTGTCATGCTACTATGGATTAACAGGTAGATGTGCTGGCAGTGGCCTAGAGCCATCCATCCAGAGTCCCCTCTGCCTGATTTGCTGTTTTGGTTGGTCTCCCAGGAGGCGATGCCCTGCCCCTTCAGAGATTCCCCCCGTCCAGCAAACAGCCAGTGCATGTTTCCTCCCCAGCAGCCTGTCAGCCATGCAGGCTTCCAGCTAGACCGCTTCTCCGACCTGCCAAGGTCTGCCAGGCAGAAGATGCCTACACCCGAGAGAAATTCAAGCCACAGCCCATACGTAAGTCAGCAAACATTGCTAATAAATTCATGGTGATGCCTGGAGCCTCTCTTCCCCTCCTGTCCATCCCCTGCCTCAATCTCAGCAGTGGCAGTGTATCTGAATTGCTCCATGTCCTCACGCTCTTCCTCTTCAAAGATGGTTCAGAAATAGATCTCTGAGGGAACATCTGCTGTAAGTGCTCGCTGACTTCTGCCTGCCAGCTAGGGGGGCAGTGACAGGTGATAGGGACCTGCACGGTCCTTGAGCAAGAACAGAGCACTAGGTGATTTTCTAGCACATAAATGTGAAACCACAGCTGATGTTGGTTTGGTGGGCTCTGTACACCCGTGTGGTGCTTGCACACAGTCCAGGGATGGACTGACATTAATGAAACACTTCTCTGGCACAGTTAGGGAAGCAGTGTGGTCAGGCTCCTCCATGAGGAGATGTGCTGATAAATATAATTTTTTCCTTTGGCATTCACAGGAGATTTGGAAAAGGAGAAGAGAAGACTTCAAAACATCTTAGCAACAGGGAAGGATGAGGTAGAGGACAAGGTGAAGCAGGTGTTCATTCAGAAAAAGGAAGAGGAGATAGCTGCGCCTGACCAATTTGAAGAATGTATGTCTTCATGTCCCCAGGAGGGAGGCAGGCAAGAAGCCCAGGAAGCCAGCTCCCTCCTAGGGCTGGGGTGGCAGGCTGTGTTGCCAGTAATGTGGAGCCCATTACAGGAGCAGCCACAAAGCCCAGTTTCCAAGAGAAAAGACTCGCTGCTGTGACACTGATCCAGCCATCTTCACAGAGCTTATGTTGCTGAGGTTGGCTGGCAGATAGATCTCAGGGCTGCCAGCACAAAATGCACCCTGCTGGCAGGGGAATAGCCTAGGAATGTGCAGGGATATCTGGGATGCAAGCTCAGGTGCTGTTGGTCTCTTTCCCAGCAAGCCTGACTCAACATAGACCAGGTCACTTGACAGCCTGACCACAGTTTGGGCCCTTCCACTCCAGGATCACAGCAGTTATATTAGCAAAGCTTCAATATCAAGCAGAATTTGAAGCAGTAAAAGACTTTGGCTTGTAGAATATACAGTGATAGCAAAACCCTGCCAAATACCTCTCTGTGCTTGAATCTTCAACGTGTGTGTACAGCCCTGCCAGCCTTTTGCCAGCCAGGGCAGCACAAAGATGGGCAATGCCAGAATAATGTGTACAGAAGGGGTGCTTTGGTCCCTGCTGCAGGGAGCCAGTGCAGCTGGTTGCACACAGGCTTGGTTGCCTCCAACACTTGTCACAAGCTGAATGTTGTCCTTGACACATCTGTGACAGGATCAGCTGGCTGCAGGTCTGTGCTGCAAAGCAGCAGCTGATGATCCATGCCTGGTCTTGGATGGTTGCAGTCACTGGGTGCTGTGTGTCAGTTAATGAACCTCAACAGCAGGTTCCGTCTCCATCCACAGACTGGTTAAATTGCCCACAAGCAAAAGAGAACTGTCTACATAAAGGAAACTACAAAACTTGTTCCTGGGAGTCAGGGGGTGGTAAGAAGTTGGGCAGAAGGGACATTGCCCATTATGTAAGGGACTACTGATATATTGTGATGACATGTTCAGCAAGGTGAGTGTTACAGCTGCTATCACACTGCCTTGATGGGTCTGCTGTTCTAGCAGAACTAGGAAATTGGGAGTTCAGATCTAGACACAAACCTGTTTTCTTGCCTTTTGGCTGCATGCTGTTTCTACAATTCTTTCTCTTATCCACCAGTGATGAATGAAATTCAAGAGAGGAGGGAATTCCTGGCAGAGATGGAAGCTCTAGGACAGGGTAAGAAGTATCAAGGGATCATCCTCACTGAAATCTCACAGGTATGCAAGGGCCTTGGCTGAACAGTGCATGGAGGGAATCCTGTGTGTCAAGATATCTGAGCAGGGAAGCAGGCAAAGAGCTGCTTCCCTTCATGGCACAGCTCAGGCATGAATTTGGGGAATGGTGGATAGAAGTTTTTCAGCTTTCTTTCCATCTCTGCATGTAACTTAATCAGGAAAATAGAGCTTTTGTTCTTAAGACTGGCAAAAGAATGGAAAAAAAGCTGCTGGTTTTCTCCCTGCTCAGCTCTCCCCCTTTGTACTTTGCAGAAATTGCATGAGATGGAGATCATTGACAAGAAGAGAAGTGAGGAAATGAGAAATATGACAAAAGCCTTCCCTGTTGGGAACAAATCCAGTCTCCAAGACTAGGCCAAGGACAAAACACAAATGCAATTTGTTCCCACCTATTCTTCCCAGACTGTCGACATTGGAGGCTGGTCTGTGACTGTTTCCAAAGAGGGGGCAGCACCATCTGTTGCCTGAAACTAGAAGGCAGGACCAATTTGTACATAAACAGCAAGAGAAGTTGTAAAATCCTTCCCACACACTGGATCCCTTCTTGCTCAATAATATTAAAGACATGAAAATACATAGCAATGGCTCCCAAAACATGACAAAGCAGAGCCTTTTTTTTGCCTGTGCAGTGCCTCAGACTACAGCAAACCATCCATAGAAATGTCATTCCTTCCCATCTGCCCAGAGGTGGGGGTTTCTCGTGACAGCATGATGGTAACACACGCTGCCACCACACCTGTAACCTGCTCACTCCTGGCCCCGTGACTCCAGGAATATCTCTGGAGGAAATGCAGCTGCACAGCCTTGTGCAATCACAAGCCCTTGGCATTTCTGCAGGTCACTGGCTGTGACCTTAAGCATCAGCAGACCTCTGGTGGCAGCCCCAGCTGTGCCAAGCAGGGACAGGGGATTTCAGCCCAGTGCCCGCTGCTCTTTGCTGTGATTTTTTTGGTTCCTGAAAGCACGGTATACAGAATAGCCACTCTGTTCCCACAGAGACTGGAAATGGCTGTTTGCTCACCTCATAAATACCTGCACCTCTGTCCTCCAGCAGGCTGAAGCATGATGTCCCACTTTTCCTGTGCAAATCCCAGCATAACATCCAGTTTCCAATTTCCTTAAGATCTCATCCTCTGCTTCTTAGCAATACTCAGGCACTTCCCAAAGCCAGGCAGCATGCCCTGGCCATGGGACAGCACAAGTGCACAAAGGAATCAGAAATCTAATCCACAATCACTTTTTAAATCCAATGTTTCTTTTATTTCTGCTCAGGTGAATGGAAGTCATGGAGTTAGTACAGTATAATTTACAAATCAAACTGCTGACCAGGCGCAGGGCCAAGGGGTGTCAGGCTGCAGCAATCCCAATGGCCTTTGGCAACAGTGATGTGACAGCAGGCTCTAAAGCAGTTTTATTCTCCTTAGAAAAGAGTTGTGCTTTGGGGTCTCCCCGCCCCTATCACTGCTCCTCATCAGCCTGCTGTGTATGGCAAGGGTGAGATGGCATTACCAGCACAGGGCTGGACTGGCCAGCTCCCAGCCATGGGGGCCACGCTGGGATTGAGGAGGGGCTTGGGTCCCTCTGGTTTTGGGAAATGAGGATCCCTCTCCAGAATGCTACACCAACCACCTAGCAAGGCACTGCTCTGAGAGCATTTTGGCTAAAGCCTGTTGGGTTTTTAGAAGAGACTGCAGCAGATGGCTCAGGGCTGGCTATGTCTAATTTGCTAATGAGAAGGCATGATGAATAGCTGACCAACCAAACACCCATGAAACTCTAATTCAGACTGATCCAATAATTCAATAAATAACTCATCATCTTGGAAGTGAAGGCAGGAAACAAAAATGGAAGGAAGAAGGGATGGTTGGAAGAACACTGCCCCCCTGTTCCCTCCTCTCCTCTGATGTACACACACGCACACACATGACAAATAAAATAAGGGGTTTAAAGTTCTTGGATGGGTTTGAATTCATCTAGTAAAGGAGGTGTAAAAAATAACCAGCCACATCTGCACACTTTTAAAGTATACACAGGTGAAGCTGGGTAAAGGTCAGTTGTGACCGCGCCTCTCTCCCCTGCCGCTCAAGGGTGGCACTGGTGAGCAGGGACACAAGCTTAGTGCCCCTTGCCGGCACTCAGTCAAGCTTGAGCTTTTCTGCCCTTGCCTGGAAAAGGAACAGGTCTTCCCTCCCAAGGAAGGCAGCAGAGTCAGCAGTGTTTAGCAGCAGTGGGGTTCCTGAGTAGGGCACGTGAGCTACATCCTAGCAGCTGTACACTGTCCCCTTGGGTCCTCTCAGCCTTGGGACGGAGCCCACCCACCCTGGCACACGAGGGAGGGGACAGCTCAAAATAAATAGGGCACCACATGTTTTTTTGGCTATGGCTCTAGAGCCTTATGATGCAGGAGTATTTTCTTAACCTTTTAGTTTAGGCCAGTAAAACCCAAAGGAATGAGATTCTAATGTCAGTTTTCTCCTGAAGTTAAAAATGGGACAGAAAAGGGACAAGAGTGGGCAGGCAGGGAGGGACAGGGAGGCCCAGTCCCCTCCTGGCAAAAGTCAGAGGCACGTGGAACTGTCACAGTTAGAGCGGGAGAAGGGATGGGGTGCAGTTAGTGCAAGTTTTCCCACAAACACGAAACTCCTTTGCTTGTTCTCAGTTAATGACAAGAGCACACAATTGGGTAACGTATCTGAAAAGCAAATCCATCTTCTCCCCGCCTTGTTAACAAGGCTTCATGGAGGATATGGTCATGCTCCCCCACAGCCTTAGGAAGGGGAGGGCTTTGGTCATTCTCACCCACTCTGGGCTGAGGGCTGGCATCTCCCTGGGGCAGCAGCTCTGGTGCCTGAGGAGGGAGCAGGGGGAGAGGTGAGCCAGGGCCAGGGAGAGGCGAGTCAGGGTTCCCTCCCGATGTTGGTGTTCCCCTGCTCTAGCTTTTTTCCTTGGATGACTTGCTCTTGGAATCATGCTTGTTGCCCAGCAGCTTAAGCACCTTCATAGGCTTGAATTTGCCTTTCTTCTTGCTCTCGGTCTCCGTCTCCTTGTGAAATTCTGGGGTTGCAAAGGGAGGTTGTTACTGTGGGATGTCAATAGTTGTACAAACACACTCACAATGGGCAAGGGTGAGAGGCATGAATCAAAGCCCTCCACTGCCTGCACACTTTTTCTGATAACAGGGGTGTGCAGCACAACTGTGCCTCTAACTTTATTGGTCCCCCAGGAAAGTCTCCCCAGTCTACACAGAATAGATTCAATCTCCCCTGCAAGCAATTTCACAAATGTCTCGTGTTGCCCCTTACTGGGGTCAGCTGTGAAAACATCACTCCAAAAAGCTTCCCATTTATTTCTTACCTTTCCTTTTAATCATGGCTTCCAACATTTTATCCTCCTCCTCTTCTCTGAAAGAAAGAATGGGAAAGAGGTCAGGAATTCAGCCCTGAAAACAGCTGCTGTATTGTTTCAGGCTAGAGAGCCTCCTACTTAGAAGCCATAGAGGGGCAGATCCATCACTGTCTTGTAAGCATTTGCAACCAGCAGGATAAATCCCACATGCTGCACATGCTGTCCTGTCTTTCCCACACAAGGCATTCAAAGAGACAAGGACTGGGAAGCCTGGGAAAGACATCAGCAACATGGACATCTTGGGACACCCCTGCGAGGCGCTCATGTGGAGCTGAGTCAGACAGGCTGTGCTTTTCCCTTCTCCCCCAGCCCACCCCATTCCTCACTCACCTCTGCCGGTCCTCGTCCAGGCAGTTCACAATGGCATTCCTCTGCTCAATGATGGTCACCAGCTCCTGCATCAGCACCTTCTCCCTCCCTCGGTCCTCATCGGTCCAGTCCTTCTCTACCCAGCCAAACCCCAGGGAAGGACAGGCAATTACATGGCTGAAGGAGCACTGAAATGCAGAGCTTCAGGGCAGAGATCTCCAGCACAATCCCCTCTACCCTGCCATGTTGCAGGGCCAGTTGGGTTACTAGTGCTGTGGGGACAGAGCCCTGCATGTGGCATTCCATGGGGACAAAAGAAGCATGTCCCTGCACAAGGCTGGGACATACACTGAGGTGGGACAGAGCCTCTAGAGCCAGTTGATTGCATTGGCAGCCCTACAAAGCCCTTAGAGAGAGGGGAGATGATGCCAAGGGGAAAAATTATCCTTGTGGGTGCCTTCCAACTCAATATATTCTGTGATTCTATGAAAAAAGGGGTAAGCACACAAAGAGTGGTGCTTTACCTGGCTTGTTGAGGAGGCACCGCAGTTCATACTCCACGTCTGACTGCCGCTGCTCCAGGTTCTGCTGCTTAAAGCTGCAAAGGAAGGAGGAAATGTTGGGAAGCACTGAAGGCTCCAGAGAGGCAGAACACCATCCCAAAGTACAGAGTGAGCTTGGAAAGAACAATCAAGATTCTGATCTTGTCCTGTATAGCCAGGGAGCCAAGGACCAGTAAGGACCAGGCCTGGCTGCTCAAGGCCTTCCTGGAGCAGATACTGCAGAGGCTCTGGTGACGTGCTGTGGGTCAGTTCTCAGTGCATCTGGACAGATTTCCTTGCCCTTACTCCCTCTCTTTTCTAGGCAAGGAGACCCTGTCAGGATCTCCCCTGGAAGCACCATTTCAGGAGGGCTGAGAAAGGGTTCCCCAAGAGAGTATCAGTGCCTCTCCACACGCCTGCACACACTTACACGTAGATGAGCTCTGATTCGTGGCGCACCAGCATGTGCTTCTCATGGATGAGTTTGAACCAGTCCACAAGCAGGCTGTCCTCAGAGTTGTCTGCCAAGCAAAGGGACAATTCAGAGCCATTCCCAGCCCTGGTGGATCCCATCACCCTGCAAAAGGCTGGCCTCTGCCAAGCCAGGGGAGGGGCACTGGGCTAGAGCCAATCCAACCTCAGCCTATTTCTGAGGCCCAGAGAGACCCTATCTCTCCTCTCACCTGTTTCCATTCTAGGGACATCTCCATGTTCAGGGTAAGGTTGTGACCAATCTTGGAGGCCAGCACAGCCTCATGTGCTCTTCCAACCCCAACATCAGCAGGGAGTAAGAGGGCAGCCCTAGGGTCTGTCCTGCCCCACACCCACAGACAGCCCAACCTACACACCATTCTCAGCACTGCGCAGTTTTTCCTCCAAGGCCACCCCACGGTGCTCCAGCTCATCCAGCTGATGCTCAATGGCATCCATCTCCCCATAGATGTCTTCTTCAGGGATGTACTGATCTGTCTGCACCTGCCAAGCCATAAATAAGACACTTTCGTTACCTCCAGACTCCAGTTCCCAGGGGTAATCCAGAGGTTGGTCAACACTAACAAGGGCAGGGGGACAACAGAATATTCCATCGAAGCATGGATCTGAAATCCCCACCCCACTCTGGAGCAAAGGAAGACCATGGTGCTTTAATGAACAAGCTGTAGCTTACACACCCTCCTCCCCAGCCACGGCCACCTGCTGCAATCCCTTCCCACACATGCATCAGCAGGGTGCCTGCAGACTGCTCCAGCCCTGGGGGACAGCACAGAGCCGGCTTTTCCCTCCTTGCTCCCGAGGGCCCTTTT